AATGAGTTTCTTGTTTTGACATTATCCAAGAACAGAGACAACAAGTTCGATCTCGAGATTGTAATGAAACAACGAATTGAGCTTCTTTATATATAAATAATCCATTTGAGTTTTGACCATGTAATAATCAGGTAAACAAAAATCTCGCATTTCTGAAGAAAATTTCATATACAATGTTGTTGGGAGATGATGAAGATTCAGACGACCTTAATATATTTCTAAACGCCATTGGTGATACTGGCGATGAAGCTCCGACGAGACCCTCCTCGTCTTTCAGTGGAATCATGGACGATCTCTTGGACTTGGATTCGTCTCATAACCCATTTCAAGATTTCGATTCTTCAACAAATCAAGAATCCGAATCTCCTCCTAGGGTTTATGTAGCACCAAGGGTGATGATAAGCCATCAAGACTCCTTCTCAGACGATTCTAGAATCGAAGATGCGAGGATATTGTCTCTGTCTGGTTCTTCTCCTCGTCTTCGAGTTCCTGCTTCCCCTAGAGCTTTTGTGTATCCTAGATCTGTCGAATCACCACGTTTTGGGTCTCCGACAGGTGTTGTTGTTGGTTTGGTTGATACAGCTTCACCTTTCGAATCGGTCAAGGAAGCTGTTTCAAAGTTTGGAGGGATCACAGATTGGAAAGCTCATAAGATTCAGACAATAGAGGTTACTTCTTGTTACTTCTCTTCACATGATCTTCTTTTTGTCTCCCTGAGATCTTATTTTGTGTTTATGTTTCAGAGAAGGAAGATGGTGGATGAAGAGCTTGAGAAGATACAAGAAGCAATGCCTGAGTACAAGAGAGAAGCTGAGTTAGCAGAAGAGGCGAAACACGGTGCATTGAAGGAGCTAGAGAGTACAAAGGGGATCATTGAAGAGCTCAAACTCGAGCTAGAGAAAGCGCAAAAGGAAGAGCAACAAGCGAAACAGGACTCCGAGCTTGCACAGATGCGTGTGGAAGAGATGGAGCAAGGTGTAGCTAATGACGCAAGTGTTGCTGTCAAAGCGCAGCTCGAGGTAGCTAAGGCTAGACAAGTCTCAGCCACTAGTGAGTTAAGATCCGTGAGAGAAGAGATTGAAATTGTTTGTAATGAATACGAAGATATGTTGAGGGAAAAAGATCTAGCTGCCAAGAAAGCTGAAGATGCTGTTAGGGAAGCTAAAGAGATTGAGAGGAAGATGGATGGTTTGAGTATAGAGCTGATTGCTACTAAGGAGTTGTTGGAATCAGCGCACACGGCTCATCTCGAAGCAGAAGAGAGGAGGTTCGGTGCGGCAATGGCTCGGGACCAAGACATTTACAATTGGGAAAAGGAACTGAAGATGGTGGAAGATGATGTCGAGAGGCTTAACCAAGAGATTCGGGCGGCTGATGATGTGAAAACTAGGCTAGAGACTGCTTCTGCTCTTCAGTATGATTTGAGGGCTGAATTAGCGGCTGTCACGGAAAATTCAAGCCGTAATCTGTTGATGGAAAAGAAGAGTGACAATGACATACATGTGGCGGTTGATTCTGCGAAGAGAGAGCTCGAAGAAATCAAATCCAACATTGAGAAAGCAGCTTCTGAGGTGAAAAAATTGAAGATAATCGCTGGATCATTACAGTCCGAGCTTGGAAGAGAGAGACAGGATCTAGAAGAAACTAAGCAGAGACAAAGTGCGGGTTTGTTCAGGACAAAGGATAAAGAAGTAAGAGAGGAGTTGGTGGAAACATCCAAGAAGTTGGAGCAGGCGACAAAAGAGGCAGAGGATGCAAAGTTCTTTGCCGCAGCTGCTAGAGAAGAGCTTAAAATGGCGCAGGAACTGTCTGAACAAGCGAAAACAGGAATGTCTACGATAGAGAGTAGGTTAATTGAGGCGAAAAAGGAAATGGAGGCTGCTAGGGCTTCAGAGAAGTTGGCCTTGGCTGCTATAAAAGCTCTGCAAGAGACTGAATCTGCTCAGAGATTTGAGGAGATTAATAATTCACCAAGAAGCATCATAATATCTGTAGAGGAATACTATGAGCTAAGCAAGCAGGCACACAAGTCCGAAAAGGAAGCAAACACAAAGCTATCAGAGATTGTCTCCCAAATAGAGGTGGCTAAAGAGGAAGAGTCAAGAGTCTTGGAGCAACTAGAGGAAGTGAGTAGAGAGATGGGCGTAAGAAAAGAAGAGCTTAAAGAGGCTATGGGAAAAGCCGATCAGGCTAGAGATGGGAAGTTGGGTATGGAGCAAGAGTTGAGAAAATGGAGGTCAGAAAATGGGAAGAGGAGAACAGAAGAAGGCAGGGAGCCTGAGAAAAGCCCGAGGAGGTCAAGCAGCGAGGGGAGATATAAGGACAATGGATTTGGGCAGTCGACATCGTTTGCATTTGGCGAACAAGGAAGCAGCAGCAACACTGAAGGAGGTACTACCCC